CCCCCACCCCCGCCCCCTGGGCGCTTTGCATTAAAGCACAAGAGCCTGAAGGCGCCCACTCACAGGCAAGAAGGTGGTGACCAGCCCACGTCTGGAGGACAATGCACCTTCCCTGGAGGCCAAAGTACACTGGCCACAAGGAGCCCAGGGCAGGAGCCTGGGGTATCCTGCTCACCCCACGTTACTGGGGCTTCCTGGTGCCCTGGTGCCTGCTCTCCACCCCGCCCTTCCCACCCCAGTCATCCTGCCCAAGGAGACCAGGGAGCCCAGGCCAGGGAGGATGGATGCCCAAGCAGCTCTCTGCGTGGAGCACCTCCCCCTCCCCTCACCCCCCAGCCCCTGGCTGGAAAGGATGGGGTGCTGGCCCCGGTCTGGGCGCCAGAGTGGCAGGCTTGGGCTGCTCACCGGCCTCATCTTCCCCGAAGGAGATGATGTGCGGATGGTAGTTGTTGATCAGGCCGGGGAATGCACACGTCTGGCCACGGCCCATGCAGATCTCACTGTACCGCCACTGGCCTGTCTCCGGGTCCTCTCGGAGGGACATCAGACGCCTGCAGAGGAGGATGAGTTGTAGGGCCCTGCCTGGCACAGTAGCCAGGGAAGCCCACCTGCCACTTCACCCTCCCGGCCAACCAGTCGGCCACTCCATTCTCCGGGCCACCCGCACCAGACAGAGCAGGCCAGTGCAGGAGCATGCAGGGTCGAGCGTGCAAAAGGCAGTCAGTATTCCAGCCCAGAGCAGCGGGCAAGCGTGAGCCGTGCACCGCAGGGGGTGCAGCAGGAAGCGGGGGTCCGTGCCCCTGCACTGGCGCCTAGTGTGCAGCGGGGACGCCCAGAGCCGGGGCAGAGGCAGGAATCAGCAGAGCAGAGAGAAGAGCGGCAGGCGGGCTGCAGCCAGATTGTCCACCACACGGAGCCTCAGCAGCACCGGATGCAGGCGCCTCAGACCCCAGAGGGCACCCCTAGAATGAGGGCTGTGGGACTGTCTTGGCACACGAGCCCTTGGGCCACTTACCCGCTCATGAAATCCCCAAAAATGTAGAGGCCATTCAAATTGGGGTACTCGCAGCCCCGGTACACGTAGCCCCCTGTGACGGACTTTCCCAGCTTGTGCGGGTAGGCGAAAATAGGCAGCACGTCATCTGCAGGGGGACAAGTCGGGGTGAGCCTGCAGCGGCAGTTCAGTTGCTGGGACCAGCCCTTCCCCGGAAGCTTCCTGGGTGGCCGTGAAAACTGGAAGCCAGGGGCTGGAGGGGGGCCAGGAGGAGGAAGCGGCTCGCAGCCTTCAGACTGGGGCCAGTGGGAAGAGGGCGGCGCTCCCAGGGACCGGGGGGGCCAGGAGGTCCAGGAGGGAGACAGAGCCGGGATCAGGGGTCCCCACGGGGCTGACACACAGCCTCCGGGCGCTGCAGAGCAAGCCCGGGGCGCAGCGAGCGAGCGGCCGCCGCGGTCACCTAGGGAGGCGTTGGCGCACAGCTTGCGGTCATAGCACTCGAAGCCCTCCCGGGCGCGCCAGCCGTAGTTGCGGCCGCGCTCCACCAAGTCCACCTCCTCGAACTTGTTCTGGCCCACATCGCCACAGAAGAGGCGGCCGCGGCCCGCGCCGGAAGCGGGGTCCCCGCGGTCGAAGGAGCAGCGCCACATGTTGCGCACGCCCAGGGCGTAGACCTCCGGCCGCGCGGCGCGCTCGCCCACGAAGGGGTTGTCGGGCGGGATGCGGTAGGGCGGGCCGCGCTCGTTGCCGGTCACGTCCAGGCGCAGCACCTTGCCCAGCAGCGCCGACCTGCGGGGTGAGGACGCCGGCTGGGGACACGGGCTGCGGCAGGCGCGGGACCCGCCGCCCACGCGTGAGCCAGGTGCGGGGCGAGGCCTGGCTCGGGGCTGGGCCCCTGGGATCTGCCCCTCTCTCAGCTACTTCCCAGCCCGCACCCTCGTTCCTCCGTATGGGCACCGGACTGGGGCCCCGCCCTGGGCAAGCAGAGGAGCTCAGCCTCTAGCGCCTCACTTTCATCCTCACAGCCTGATACCGTCCTTGGGCACTGGTGCGACCCCCGCCTACGGATGGGCAGCTGAGCTTGAGCAGTAACTACATGCTGGGTGCCCATTGGGACTGTAAGTTTGGGCTGGCAGGGTCAGGTCCAGGGAGCCGGCCAGGGACAAACCCTGCAGGAAGTCGCACCTCTGACCCACCCAGCCCTGAGCTCTCCGCTGTGGCGCTGGGGACCCCTCCTTCCCGCCTGCTTCGGGGCCTGCAGATGTCTTGTAGCTAGGGTTCTCTGCCAGCATCCTCACAGCGCCGCTGGGCAAAGCCAATGTGCCACTGAGTCCCGGTCAGGCCAGGAGAAGAGGGGGGTGGACCCAGAAGACCCGGACAGGGAGGGGGCCGGTGGCCTTGCTTCTCTCTCCCACATGGGGGAACCACGTCATATCAGGCAAAGGCCAGGCCTCAGTGGCCACTCAGGCCACCCTGCATTCCACACTCACCACCTCTGCTTTCAAGAGGAGGCCACCTGGGCAGAGGCCACCTGCCCACACACTGGCGACATTCACACCAGGGCCCCTGGAGCAAGACCCAGGATGTACCCTGCAGAGCCACACAGAACGGGGTGTGGCCCCAGCTTCCATAAGCCACCGGGGAGCGGCTTTGGGGTCTCATGCATCACGTGGCAGAAGTGGCACTCCTGGGGAACCCCACATGGGCCCGAGGCACACGCCTTGATCCGGTCGCACGGTTGTGCCGGGGTAGCCTGGTCTGCTCTGCACCCCCGATGTGCCATGTACCCCTCACTCCCAGCGGCAGCACCCCAACTCTTCCCTCATCATTGGAGACCGGCCGCGGTGTCCTCGCTAGCTGTGACAAGACCCGCCCTGCCTGACGCTGCCCGCCCCCTTGGCCCGAGCCAGAGCCCACCCGCGCACGTCACAGGGCAAAGCTCATCCCCGCAAAATAATGTTTTAAGTTCCGTCCAATTACCCACAAATCCTTAATTTCTATTTTCTCAGCTCCATCTCCAAACACATCCCGAACGGGGCGGCGAGGATCCCCGCGCGTCACCCATGAACAGAGTCCCGAGCCGGGGACGCTGTAATCACTGTAATCAACATCGCTGTCGCTATTTTTACTTTCCAGGCCGAGGGCGCTTTTGTCATTTCTCCTAAGAGGCTGGAGGAGGCTGCCTGTGATGGCTGAGGGGCCTGTCCACACTGGCGTGGCCTGTGGGTGTGTGTGTACGCACGGGGTGGGTGGAATACGGGCAGGCGTCCGCTCAGGCCAGCCAGTGAGGAACCAGGAGGTTTCCATTTCTGGGGGACGCTGGGGGCAGAGGGCCCAGTGGTTCGTGTGTACCTGCTCCAGCCAGCTCACCCTCACCAGTGGCTCTGGAAAGCTCCCTTTCCTTCCTGCCACTCCTATGGGGCTGGGCGGACTTCCTTTAAAGTCCCAGGGGTGAGGGGGGTCGTTCCCAGGGGCCCAGGACAGGTGGGCTCTGTGCCTGGGCCTGGCCGAGCAGGGAGCCCTTCCTCCTCACGATCACGCGCCCCATGGAACTGTTCTTAGTCCCACTAACTGACCAGAGGCAGGGGCTTGTGGGGGCCCAGCTAGAGGCTGTGGGCTGAGCAGGGGCCCAGAGCGCTCTCTGCTGCCTGACCTCCGTGGCAAGGGAGTTACCGCCCCCTCGACATGAGTGTGCAGACCCACCCAGCAGCCAACCCAAGCAGAACATACTTGTTTTGGGCATTTCCAAACGTTCCAAAGGGGTCTCCAGCCATCCCGCCGTCCCCCGTAAAGATGTAGAGGTACCCATCATTCCCGAAGAGCAACTGACCCCCATTGTGGTTTGAGGCTGGTTCTTCAATCTCCAGGATTATCCTAAAAGAAGAAAAGCAACAGCCCCCCCCCCCAAAAAAAAAACCCAACTCAGCCAAAACCACAAAACCAGACCACCACAATAAAATCACCTCTGTCTTGGATGACATTTCAGTCCTTTCCAGCAGTGAAATTTTATGAGGATCTGGTAGGCTGGGCAGGGATGATTCATACTATTCGGCCCATGAGGAACTGGAGGCTCAGAGAGGTCGAGTAACTTGCCCAAGGTCACACAGCTCGTAGACAGCAGAGCCGGGACCAGAAGCCTGACGTCCTCATTCTGAAGTCCTACACAGACAAAAGCATCCCTCTGCTAGCGTCTAGCGCCTCACTTTCATCCTCACAGCCTGATACCGTCCTTGGGCACTGGTGCGACCCCCGACTACGGATGGGCAGCTGAGCTTGAGCGGTACCTACATGCTGGGTGCCCATTGGGACTGTAAGTTTGGGCTGGCAGGGTCAGGTCCAGGGAGCCGGCCAGGGACAAACCCTGCAGGAAGTCGC